TCTGAACTCATTGAATTCTTCAGCTTGTTTTCTGGCCTCTTCTTCATATTTCTTCTTCATTTCCTCCAGTTTTTTCTTATACTTTTCCTCTAATTCCTTTCTCTCCTTCTCCTCTTGTTCTCTTCTGATTCGTTCTTCTTCTTTTCTTTTCATTTCATATTTTTCTCTTTCCCGTTCATATTCTTCTTGGAGTTTTTTCAGTCTTTCTTGCTCCTCCTGTCGTCTCTGTTCATCTTCTCGATATCGTTTCTCCCACCACTCCTTTCTTTCCTTTTCCCAGGTCTCATGTTGTTTTCTCATCTCCTCTCTGCTCTGTTCCAGCTGTCTGTCAATAGTTTCCCTTTCCTTTGATTCAGACTTTATTTGTTTCTCTAGATCTTTAAGTTTTTGTTCCCACTCTTGCTGTTGAATTTCTTCCTGCTTTTTCCTCTTCCTGTCTTCCTCTTCTCTCATTTCCTGTTCTTTCTCTCTCCTTTCTTGCTCTTTTTTGATGTTTTCTTCCATTTCTTTTAGTTGTTTAGCTCTCTCCAGTTCAATTTCTGCCTTCTGTTCTTCCATTCTTCTCGTCACTGCTGTCATTTCTTCCTCATGTTTTCTTTTCAGCTCCTCCTCCTTCCTCTTCATTTCCTCTTCCTTCTCCTTCAGGATTTTCTCCACTTCCTTCTGTATCGCTGCCTCAGCTTCTTGGAACATCTCTGAGGTGTAACAGCTGCCGCCATTTTCCTTCACCATTGTTTTTGACTTTGTGATCAGCTCTCTGACTTGTGTGCGGTCTGTCTGATTGTTGTTATTGAAGACCTGGTATCTCCCTCCACAGTCATTTATCAGTTTTTTGACAAAGTCTTCACTGTCTTCTATGTAACTATCAATTGTTTGATTCTTCAGATCATCTCCTCTGGTGAATATAATCATGATGTAATCTCCTGAATTCTTGCCAAAATATTTCTTGATCAGTTCCACAGACTCTTTTTCCTCTTGTGTGAATCGACCGATCTGCAGCACCAGTAGAAACACATGAGGTCCAGGAGACAATATGCTGATGCATTTCACAAGCTCCTGTTGAATATCATCGTTGGACAGACTCGTGTCAAACAAGCCGGGGGTGTCGACCACAACAACAGACTGTCCATCAATCTCTCCTGATGCTTTCTGGCAAAACTTGGTGACAGACTTTGAGCTGGTTTTAGATATGAAATGGTCTTTGCCCAAAATGGTGTTTCCTGTTGCACTCTTCCCACTGCCAGTCCGGCCAATCAGCACCATCCTGAGAGGCTCTCTGCTCTGATTTTCTTCACCTCCTTTCTTTTGTTTCACATTGTGAAGTTCAGCTTTGAGTTGTGAAACCATCTCCATCTGAGCCCTGGTGAACATGTCCTTTGTGAAGCATCTGGATCCTTCAA